TCCCTGTTAATCTGCGCTCTCCCTTCATATATGACACTTGACCATGCTACTGAAAGAAAGAAATGTCCTTTCACAGCTAGAGTCCCATAGCTAGTGTTTTCCTAGCATTCTCTTTTTGGAGGGGAATTCTCTCCCTATATGTTACAGAGATCTAGTTTATCTTCTTCAATGCCATTGTACACTATAGGGCAGTGACGGCAAACCTTTTTGGCACCGAGTGCCAAAAAGGTCACGTGAAAACATCGTGCATGCGTGCTCATCAGGGCCACACTCCAGAAAAGCCAAACTTACGGATTCTAGCATGCATGTGCGCCTGACAATCAGCTGGCCGGTGCACATGCTGAGGCCAATTTTCTGCACTGATGCATGTGCGAAGGACAGCTGATCGTCACGCACAGATGCGTGCCAGAAGTCCGGAAGACAAATAGGCAAGGCTGCACATGCCGGGCAACATGGCTTCACATGCCACTTTGGGCATGTGTGCCATAGGCTCGTCATCACGGCTATAGGGGATTCTGGGTAAGTTCCAGGGCAATCCATGTGGAACATCAGCAGATCTGTTTGATAGTGTACTTGCCTTGCTGTGTGATGAGTATAAGGCAGATAGTTGCAGAGCTTTGCTATAATTACTGGTCTTCAGAGGAAATTCTCTAGAACAAATATAGGCAAACGTCCAGCCTGTTACCTCAAATCTGATGTAAAGTGAGGCCTAGGGCCTGGGAAAGCCTGGTGTATATTGGTAGCACAGGCAAGTGAAATCATGTTGCATCCCATTAATCTGATACTGAAAAGGTTTAAATATACAAATTCATATCTGAGATCAAGGTCTTTAACAATAAAAAAAATGAAGAGGAATGTCTTTTTGTTGCTATTATAGAACAATTTAGAGTTAAAAAGATTGCAGATCACTTGCGAGTCATATCTCTCAATTATAGCTTCACTATAGAGCACTGTTAAAAATCATTATCTTAGATTAACATGTAAACACATTTATTGACAATTCATAGAAATAGTAGGTGTACCCGATGGGCAATAATATGAAAAATGTCGGGGCTCAAATTTATTACTTAAATAAAACGCTAAGTTTGATTAGAACTGTTAATGTATAGTTAAAAGATATTTTAGAGGCCATCTAAATATATTTAAGAAGCAATAATAATTAGAATTCAGTAAGGTTTGTTTCTGAATATATGGCTTTGCTGCTAAAAATGGATAAACACATTGGTAATAAGCAGATCCTCTTTGGTAATTAATAAATTACATTAGACAGAATGCTCAAACAAGCACATAAAATATTTCAAATGCTTCTAAATTCTGTACAGATAGCTTTCAACTTACAACCATATATTTAGTGATCATTCAGAGTTTTGGCAGTTCCCAAAAAGTTTTGGCAGTTCTCACTTACAAGTTGCAACCTGTTCTCGCACCTATAATCATTGTGGCATCTCCATAGTCAATGTGATCTAAATTTGAACACTAGTATGTATTTTTGAAAGTTTCGGTATTTTGATTACCATTTGTGACTTCTGACAAGCGAAGTCAAAGGGGGAAGCCAAATTCACTTAATGACTAAGTGATTCATTTAAAGACTGTATGATTTGCTTAACAATTGCAGCAAAAAGAGCATAAAATTGAGTGTCACTCACTTAATGAACACTGCACTGGACTAAAGAAGTTCCAATTTCAGTTTGATCATAAATTGAGAACCACTTGTAATACATAAAGTATATCTTGATGTTCTTATGAGGAAGCCATTTATGCTCTGGATGGCATGATAATTAACTGGATAAGGCACCAGTCTAGAAAGCAGGAAACCATGAATTCAAATCTTGCCTTAGCCAAGAAAGCCAGTTGGGTGACTTTGGGCCAGTTACTCTGTCACAGCCCAACACACATCACTGTTGTTGTGAGGAAAATAGAATGAAGAAGACATCTTGGGTTCACCACCTTGGGTTGTTTGTAAAAGTAATAAATGCAGAATACAAATAAATAATTGTGTTCAGAGGGCATTGAACACAATTTAGAAAACTGAAGGAGAGTAATGAGAGAGAAATCTCAATTCTTTGTCTTGCACTCTTCAATATTTGTATTGATGTGTTAGATGAGGAGATAGATGGATATAATATATTTATAGAAAAGAACATGGAATACTAGTTGATACTAAAGTGGATATAAATATATTCCTTCAAAAAAGGCAAATGCATCAACAGAATCATTAGATTGCATCAACAGAAGCATAATTTCTAAATCAAAGGAAATAATTACATTACTTTATTTGTTGTTGGTCAAATACTACTTCCTGTTCTGTGCTTTAAGATTCAGACAGATTGTTTCAGATTGAGACAAGGGCAGCCTTAATGATTGGAATCTTTAAGTCAATCTTAAAAAAAGGGATTAAAGGAACTAAGAATATTTATCTCTGAGAAGAAAACACAACAGTTATAGTAACAATTTTCAAATATCTGAAAGGATATTACACAGGAAAGAAGATCAAGATCTTTCTTTTTTTAACCCAGAAGAATAGATGTTTTTTGTACAGAAAGACATGTTTCAGTTGGTGATTAGGAAGAAAATGCATAACAATAAGAAGAGTGTAATCTATTGCCAGATTAGTTGTGAACTTTTTTTCATTTTATGTATTCAAATAGAGGCTGGACAATCATCTGTTGAAGATGCTTTAATTTGGAATTTTGCAGTGACTTGGGGTTTACTGGACATTTGGCAAAGGGAGGATATTTCCTCCTTCCAGTAGATATAGCTTTAAAATCAAATTTCTGGGAAGGGGGGTTTAATATCTTTTTTAAAAAATTAGATTGTTTTCACAACAGTAGATGTTCAAGCTTTCATGTATTGTGACTTTGTACATTAGCTTCTTCTTTCTTTCCCTCATCTATCCCAAAGCCTAGATTTGCATTATTTAATTTATTTCCTGATTCCAGTTTCAATCCAGCACTTTCAATCTATGACCACTAACTGTTTCTGCCTTATCAAATACAACATGAAAAATTGTACATGTAAAAAATTCCACTCACATATTGAAAATAAATATTTGTTGAAAAAATGTAAGGATTGAAAAACCAGTCTTGAATGCTGGAGTGATTTGATCTTCTGGTAGCAGCCTGTTGAAATGTTTTTATTAGGGGAACCTCTGGAGGAAAAGATCAGCCATTAGGGGTAAAATCATCTCTCTCTCTCTCTTTCTCTCTCTCTCTCTCTCTCTCCGTCTCTCTCTCTCTCTCTCTCTCTCTCTCTCTCCCTCCCTCCCCTCACTTGCAGTTCTTTTGTTTGTCTAAGAAAGTAGATCAACTTGTATGTTCCCATCCCTCTCCCTTCTCAACTTGTCCTCATTTTCAGTTGTCTGTGTCTTCCTTTCCTGGTTCAGATATCTGTAATCCTAAGTAAGCAAGACATTAAACTTGATGAGTCTTATTATTTTAAAAACAATAAAATAAAAAGGTGGAATTAATTTTATTCAACCATAGATAGCTTTTCATGACAGATCTATACAGCTAGTAAATTTCTTAAGAGGTGTTGTGTTTAGCCAAAAATGGAGCAAAGTATTTCATAGCTCAATGGAAGTGTCCAAATATGACTTGCCTAATATCTACAGGTAGTCCTTGACTTATGACTCCAATTGGAACCAGAAATTGGTTATAAGTTGTAAGTTGTTAAGGCTGTAAGTTGAGGCACCCACATGATTTTATGACCTTTTTTTTTTTTTGCTGTGATAGTTAAGCAAATACCATAGTCCTTAAGCAAGTGCCATAGCCATTAAGTGAATGTCACAATCATTAACCAAAGGGTAGCAGTCGTAAGTGCAAAGTCATTCATTGAAATGGGCTGTTTTCACCAGAAATCGTCAATAAGTGCTAGAAACCAGGAAAAAACTGATCATGAATCCCAGTCACGTGACTGCAAAATCAGTGGTGGGTTTTTACTGGTTCGGTCCGGTTCGAGCGAACCAGCAGTTAAAAAATGCTACCATTCATCCGAACTGATATAAAAAAAACAGCTACCAATTCAACTGAACCAGTATTTTTTTTTCCTCCCGACGAACAGCTGTTCCGACGATCAGCTTTGCCGGGATCCCCCTCACTGTCTTACTGCTTTGCCCAGGAGGCTTCCCTGAGGCCCAGGCGGTGGAGTGCTGTGCACACATACACACCCCCATGGGGTCTGTTTATTTGCCTTCCTGGGCCTCTGGGAAGCCTCTTGGGAGCAAAAACAGTCTCCCAGGAGGCTTCCCTGAGGCCCAGGAGGCAAAAAAAAGCGTGGGGGGGTGCTGCCCAAAAAATGGCACACCCACCCAGTCACATGGCCATGCCCACCTACCCATGCCCAGAGAACCCACACCCAGTGCCCGCCATGTGTCATATGACCATGTGAGGCAGTGCAATCGTTTTCCATAGCTTGGGGGTTTTACACTTGCCATAAAGTACTTGTTCCATGGGCATCATAAATGTAAATAGTCATTAAGGAAACAGTTGTAAGTCGAGGACTACCCATATTGGGAACACAGAGCAAGGTCCCAACCGCCCAGGCTGTAGACCAGTGCTAGTCCATGGCTTGCCAGGAACCAGATCGTACAAGTGAACAAAGCACCATTCATGCACCCACGGGATCCAAGCCGCACACGAAACCACAACCACCCCAACCCGTGGAAAAACCACCCGCCGTGGAACTGGTCCCTAGCTCCCAAAAGGTTGGGGGTGCCCTGGTATAAAGCTTAGAAGCATCACTAGTAAAATCCTTTTGCACAACTGATGACTCTACAAAGAAATTGATCTGCCTGCCTGCCAGTGGAGAACACGCTAATGGAGGCACAGTAGGACCACTTAAACTTTCTAGGAAACTATTTAAAGGGAACCGGACAGCTGCATCATGGAAAAGAACCTCGTGAGTTTGAACCTGTGATGCTTTGAAGTGTTTTAAATAACTTGGAAGGGGCTGTTTAAAAATAGTACACAAAGTTAAGAGTCCACCTTTTTCCTCTGTTTCAGGTTTTAATAGCTGATGACTACTCGGATCCATTTGATGCCAAGAGTGAAGTCAATAAAATGGGCAAAGGAGAAAACACTGGCTATATGGAACCATATGAAGCTCAGAGGATCATGACAGGTAAGGAGGCCACAAGGAGCATTAGAAAGCCACATTTCTTTCAGTCTTATTTCCTACAAATGAACTTTTAAGTAGGATTAGATAAGAACAGTATTTAAGACATTTCCTGTGTTTAGTATTTATGCAAATTTAATTGTTATTCTCAAACGTCAATATTCTCCTTTTGCTTTTCCTATTAATCCAGAGAGTTTCATTGTATGTTTCTAAGTAATACTTTCATTTTCTTCCATTCAGGAGTCTTTATTTTACATTTGCTATACAGTGCGTGTATGAATGAATATATGCAGTCTTAATTGCCTGGTGGTGTTTTAAGGTGCCACAAATGGGTTCTTATTTTTTCAAGTCTAATGCAGAGACCCTTTTCATTCTCTATAGATAATGACACTTAATGACTTGAACTTCTGTTCTTCAAATGTTAATTATCACTCTGAATAAGAGATTCATAATAAACACAATATAAGAAAAGCCATAAGAGATGCATTGCTAATCGTGATGTACATTAACAACCATGTCAGACAAGACAACAGCTGTAAATTTGTTGCTATTTTATGAGGGTTAGGCAAGTTGGCCATGCAGCTGATTTATATACAGGGCTGTAGGGCTCTTTGGTGTAAAGGCATAACCATTTCTAAAAATCCATGGTAATTGATGAGCGATTGCACTTTCCACTAAAAGATTAAAAGTACACATATTCCCCAAAGGACAAGCATAGATTCTGGGCTTATAATGTCGTGCCCCTAAGCATTAACTCCCCAGAACAAATGATTTGTTAAAAATTTATTGACCGAGACACGACAAAGAAATTTCAATTGAGTCCTTAACATCTCTAGAGCAGCACCAAACTTACCCTGTTTGGAAAACTAAATTAGGATAAGCTGCCCTTCTAGAATGAGACCCTTTGCCGTTGCTACAAGAGGTAAGTGCTTAGGAACAGATCGATTTCCAGGAATCCCTAAAACTGTAAAAAAAAGAAAGAAAGAAAACCTCATGTCTATTAATTCAAATAGGTATTGCTCATTTTAAAAATTAAAGGATTTGAATGGTTTTATGTTGCTGTTCAAAACTGCCTTAAGCAGGGATGCTGTATAACTCCCTTGAACCTGGAATTTCTACTTCCTTGTATATGTTCTTTTTTTCTGTTAACTAATGTGCAGTTTTAATGGCTAATGTGATAGGGGAATTCCCAGATTTACAAGTAGTTTTCATGTATCAGGTTGTTCTTTTCAGTAGATCTCGTGGGCTCTTGTAGCTGCCCTGTCAATGTGTACATTTAGTTTTCTTAAGATGTAAAAACTGGGAGACTTCTGTTAAGCATAACATTTTGTAATTGATATTGTTCAGGGCAGTGTAATCAATTCTAAGCTGCATGATCATTAAAAAGGAATATTAAATGAACAAAATATTAGTTTTAAATTTAGAACTGTACTATTTTATCAAAAAACTATTCAGTTAATCTTTCATATTTCTGCACTTTGATCAAAGTGCCTGGAAGGAGAAATGGTGAAGATACAATGGAGCACAAGCTGCTCCATGGTTACAGATAGAAGTTTCTCATCCTCTGTGGAAGATGAGACCATATGTAGACACGTGTCTTGCTATCTTGTACAGTTTTCTGGAAAGGGAAAGGGTTAAACAAAAGAGAGAACAACGCAATACAACCTCACTGGCCTGTTTTTATCAACAGTAAAAAAAAATTAAAGCAAACCTGAATTCATTCATGTAAAGGAAGGGAAACACTTTAAAATGTTAGTGAATCATGATGGATTTAAAGGTTGTTTTTTTAAGGGATAGAACTAATATTCACATCTATAGTCCATGATACCGGTAATAGTAAATCAAGTCAAAAGGCAGTTCCAGATACTGCATTATTGCACATCTTCTTGGCCAATTTATGTGTTGTTGTTTTTTGTAAATTTTATTTGAGTTTTCACAAAGAGAAAAAAAATACAAATAAAACATCTTTTTTGAAAGTAGCGTAATCCCGGGTTACATTTCTTCGTACAGACACAAATTCAGGTTCATGCTCATTTTTATATTCTATTCCATATCTTATTACTATTTTACATTTTCTGCATAGCTTCTCCCCTCTTTTAATTTTCTCAATTTTATTTTAATTATCTCATCTCAATTCAAATCATTGTATTTATATTTTTTGTCTGTCCTGTTTCAATTATCTATTAACTTTTCTCGTTAAACAAAATTTCTCCTGTAGTTACTGATTGGAGTATGACGTCTTTATATCTTTTCCCTAAAGTTGTAACGTTCAATATATTACATAACTTACATTCGGATTCTGTTTGGTACATTCTTAAAATACACACTGTATTCTTAAAAAAAGAAAAAATTATAAATGTATATAATTAAAACAACATTCCATTCCAATTCAATTCTATCAATATTAATATTCATTAAAGTCTTAACATCTTTAGCATTACTTTTCAATTAAATATCATACTTCTATGGGAACAATTATAAGCTTTCCATAGTTAATTCCCCCCCTTCACTTATATTTTATAGAACATTAACTAATTAAAATGTTCCCGTTCCTTCCTAATTCAATTTTCTCATTTATTTTATTTCACTTATTTTATTCACAAACATTTCACTAAATTACACTAACTATTTTATCCCACATTTTAATTATACGTTGTTTCCAATTTTCTAAAGTTAGTTCTATTACTAATATAACAATACAATCTTATGTACCTTTGCAGAATCCCTTTTTCAGTTAGATTTTCACCCATTATCTCTAAATAGGTCCTGTTTCTCTATATCTTGCTCCGGTCCTTTGTAACTTCTTTTCCTTTCCTTCTTCCCTCTCTTCTTCTCTCTCCCCTTTTTACCCCCTTGTCTCTCTACCTGTATTTCTCTCTTCTGTATTCCCCTTTTCTGTTGCTTTCCAGTATTATACTTATTTTTCGAATTATTTTTCTTTTCTTTGGTTGTTTTTTTAAGTCTTAAATTCTCCATTCTCTTTCCTCCCTTTCCTTTTTCTTCCCCACATAAAATTGCTGGTTCATTAAAGATGGCTTCTTCTTTGTCCCAGTCTTCTTGTTTTGCAGTCTTTTCTTGTTGTTTCTCATAGTTCCAAATCTCCATTTCTAAGAATTGAAAAATGAAGCCAAAAGAACCCTTCCCTTCTTGTGCATCTTCTTTGTACTTTTTAAGTTCCATTTTCAATTCATCCAGAAGTAGTGCCATTGTATAATTTTTTAAACAACCACCCGATTGATTTTAGTCATTCAAATATAATAACCAAGAATCCAAAGATCACCAAATAATCAAAATACACGCAAGCTGTTTCTTTTTTGCTCTTTTTTTTTCACTTTCTCTTCCTGGGGTTACTATTTAGTTGCAAAGTTTCAGTTAAAATGTATCTTTTAGAAGTCTTGTTGAAGTTTTACTGTAGATTCTTTTTAATTCCAGGCAGTTTCCTCCCTCGTCCAGATCTTGCCCTTATTCTTTTTTCTCTCCCTTCCTGCTTATGAAAAAGAAAAATTTTAATGTCCAGAAATCTTTATTATCCCTTTGGCATTTTGTTTTATTTTTTGCTTAATTGCCTATTGATGTCAAAGCAATTTTTTCCGATTTCTTATTTAAGTCTCTTAGTTGTCAGTATAGGGAAGGAGAGAGAAGAAAAAAAAAGCCACCTCTTCACCACCTCTACAGGGTGGCTTAGCCCCAAAACCAGCCAGCTCGGGGCGCTCCAGCGGCGAGCCCAGACAGAAAACATGCATGATCGCGGATGTTGCCGAAGCCCTTCAAACCGGAAGTCCTATTGGCCAATTTATGTTCTTGACTGCCCCTTAATCTTATATGCATCATAATTGCCCCATATTCTAAAATTCTTCTAAAATTCCGTAGAGTTATAACAATGAAAAGGTAAGTTAGAGCAAATTTGCTGGCTTAGACTGTATGTCAATCATTTCATACATAAAACACTAATTTCCAAAATATACAATATCACCGTAAGATCTCAAGATCTTTTCAACTTGCTGATTTTTTGAGATTCTTTATGGTTTTGTGTAGCATCCTCTTGAAAGAGACTTGGGGGTTAGCTTTGCATTTAATAATGAATTGTCCAGAATCTGATGAAATCAGAGACTTACTTTTATATGAATAAAAGAAACTATTCCAGTGGAATAGTTCAGAGCTTACTTGGAGACAAATTTGTACATCACATTCACTTTGCTATACGTGTTATTTGAGAGTCACACATTTAAATGGCATTTTCATACATTTCACTTTATAAATACTTACTGCGCTTCTCTCTCTTTTTATTTGTTACATTTCTTAGAGGGAATGAAAAATGGTACATGGGTTTTCTTTCCATCCTGTGATTACAAATAGAATTTTGATACTGGTGAAAGTTTCTCTAGTATAGCCATCTCTTCTAATATGCTTTAGTTCCTATGAAGCTAAAACCAGAAGCTGTAACTGGACCATTTTACAGTGTTGTTTATGCACAGCACACTTTATCTGAAGTTGTAATGTTGGAAGGAACCCCTAGCAGGGTAGCACATTTTAGGGAAGGTGTGTATGTATATATTTTAATTTAACTGCATGGGAGGAGGAGAAAAACTACTAATCTAATCTAATCTAATCTATATACCTGTCTGCCAACCAACCAACCAACCTACCTATCTATCCTCCCCTTTCTTGTCTCATGCAGTTAATCTTGGAACAGTTGTCTGTGACTACAATATAACAAACTATTTTTTATTTCAGTAAAAGTGGTAACATTTAAATGCATAAAATTTTGCAAGAGAATATTCACTCAAAACATAATTGTGTGGGCAAAGCAAGAATAAAAGCAATGTAGAAAAGAAAAAAAAATGATGTTAATGTCTCTTATCGATTTCTCTATAGCTAGACAGCCTGCTGTTTAATTATGTCACAGCAGCACTTAGGCTTGTTAAGATTATTTAATAGCTTGAGCAGTGGGGCAGAACAATAAAACTGATTTTTCATTTGTCTTATTGTGGCTAGCTAATCTTTAG